AGGTACTGCAACATAGAATGCAGGCAACATCTTTTTTTTTTTTTTAAGATTTATTTTTATTTTCATTACAAAGTCAGATATACAGAGAGGAGAGACAGAGAGGAACATCTTCTGTCCAATGATTCACTCCCTAAGTGAGCACAATGGCCGATGCTGTGCCGATTCAAAGCCAGGAGCCAGGAACTTCTTGCAGGTCTCCCACACGGGTGCAGGGTCCCAAAGCTTTGGGCCATCCTCAACTGCCCTCCCAGGCCACAAGCAGGGAGCTGGATGGGAAGTGGAGCTGCCGGGATTAGAACCGGCACCTATATGGGATCCCGGTGTGTTCAAGGCGAGGACTTTAGCTGCTAGGCCACACCACCAGGCCCCAGTCAACATCTTAATTGGAATGCTGCAGCCCACTCCACTTCCATTTTTTTTTAAAGATTTATTTATTTTCACTGGAAAGTCAGATTTACAAGGAGAAATGTCTTCCATGTGCTGGTTCATCTGCCAAGAGGCTGTAACAGCTGGAGTCAAGCCAATTTGAAGCCAGGTGTCTGGAGGGTCTCCCACGCAGGTGCAGAGTCCCAGGGCCTTGGGCCTTCCTCAGTCTCCTCCCTGGAAGGGAAGGAGAGCAGCGGGGACACGAACTGGTGCTCTTGTGGGATCCTGGCATATGCGAGACAAGAACTGCAGCCACCAGGCTACTGTGCCAGGTTCTCCACTTCCGTTTTTCTTTTTTAAAAGATCTATTTAGTTCTATTGGAGTCAAATTCACAGAGAGAAGCAGAGACAGAGAGAAAGATCTTCCATCTGTTAGTTCACTCCCTAAGAGGCCACAATGGACAGAGGTGAACTAATCTGAAGCCAGGAGCTTTCAGGTCTCTCACATTGGCGCAGGGTCCCAAAGGCCATCCTCCACTGCCTCCCAAAGCCACAAGCAGGGAGCCAGGAGGGACGCAAAAGGTTACACGGGATCCCAGCATATGCAAGGTGAGGGCTTCAGCCACTAGGTTGCTGCACTGGACCCTCTACTTCCATTTTGTAGCAAGTTAATAAAACTTGAACATTAAACCATGGTTTAATCTCTGTGTTCAAGTAAGCTGATTTAACAAGAGCTGCTGTGTAAATGTTCTATCTTTACATGGATGGTAAGCCTTCAAAATAAGGTTATTTACTTTAAATTCAGCTGGTCTGCCGGTATTCCCTTCTTGTGTCATATATACTTAATTTTGCAGTAGGTGCTTTGGGAATCGAGATGCAAAGCTTTGATCTAGAAGTGATCCCAGGACATGATCAGTCTCTGCTGGCATCAGGTCTTAAGTGATGACTAGGGAACCATCCCATATTAGGAAACAGAATAGATGGGATTATAAAATATCAGAAACCTTCATAATTTTAATAGAAAATGTGTAGTGTAAAAACAAAAAAAATTATGTTATACCTTCAGTAGGAGATGTAACATAGAGAGGGGACTTAATATTAAACTGTGGGAGTACAGACAAAAAAATGGTGAGGATTTGGCTTTTAAAAATCAAGGCTTTATAACTTATATCAGAGCCAGAGAAGAGTTAAATGTGTGTGCATAGCATAAATTAGATTGAAACTAGTCAAACAGGATGTGAGATACAAAACAATTAATAAAACTAATAAAAAAGCAGACTGACAGACTTGTGCGCTACCAGAGCAATTAACAAAAACATTGGTGTGTATATATATTAACAAAGAACAATTGAAAGTATAGCGAACAAGGCACGTCCACTTACAATAGCATCAGAAATACTCTGGTATATATTTTAAGAAGACATGTAAACCTTATACACTGTCAGTGTAAAACAGTGTTGAAAAAACTTAAGGTCTAAATAAATAGAAATCTGTGATCGTGGATTAGAAGACTTAATATTGTTAAGATGACATTACTGTCCAAATTCATTTCTAAATTCAATACATTAGGTACAGGGCTTGTCAAAGTCATAGCTGGCTTCTTTGTCCAAAATCAACAAGCTTATCTTAAAATTTCTGTGGAAATTGACAGGATCCAGAACAGCCAGAATAATCCTAAGAAAGAAGTTGCAGAACTCACACTTGACTTCAAAATTTAGTGCAAAGCAACAGCAGCCAAGGTAGTGTAATGCCAGGGTACAAGTACAGATGGCTGTATAGATGAATGAGGTAGGATTAGCATTCCAGGTGTAAACCTCATTTCTGTAGTCAGTTGATTTTCTAAAAGGATGTCCAGACAATTCAATGACAGAAGAATGAAAATATTTTCAACAAATGGTTTTGAGGCAGGTACATAGCCACATTTGAAAAAATGAAGTTGAATTTCTGTTCACACCTTACATAAATATTAATATCATGGAAAAATACTCAGGAAGAAAATACATTCATGGCTGGTGCTATGATGTAGCTGGCATACTGTATAGGTGCCACTTCCTGTCCTGGCTGCTCTGCTTCAGACTCAGCTTTGTGCTGATGGCTGAGAAAACAGCAGAGCATGGTCCAGTTGCTTTAATCCTTGCGCCATTGGGTGGAGACCTGGAAGAAGTTCCTAGCTCCTGGCTTCAGAACAGCCTAGCTCTGGCTGTTGTGACCAATCAAGGAGCGAACCAGCTGATGGGAGATCTTTCTTTCTCTGACTCTTCTTGTTTCTGCAACTCTGCCTTTTAAACGAAAATAATGTCTTAAAAAATCCATGTCAAAGATGCCCTGATATTCTACTTCATATGGACCAGGAAAATAGAAAACCAGATGTTTGCAAGGATTTGGAGGAACCAGACCTTTGAACTATCAGTGGTGGAAATGTAACATTGTGCAGCTGCTGCTAAAGACATTTTTCAGTCTCCAAAATGTTCAAAGTGTAGGTGACATTTACTGTAACAGTCCTACTGCCAGATATGCCTAATGTATATGTGTGTGTGTATACATATATACATATACAAAATTGGTACATGTTTTTTCACAGCAGCATCATAAGCACCAAAAAGATGGAAAAATAAAATACAGTTGAAAAAGCCCAAACCCTAAAAACTGGAATATCATTCAGCTGTTCAAAAGCATGAAGTATTTACATATGCTGCGGCATGGCAGAACCTTGAAAATGTGTAAAATATGATAAGATAGAAAGACCACATTATTGTTGGCTTTCATATCGACTATAAAACACGTTTATGTACATAAGGCAACTTTCTGAATTCCTTGAGTTTCCATTGTGGGTCTGTTTGTTCTAGTACCTTTTTTAAAAAAACTAATTATGCATTTCATGAAACTTTGAGTCTGTTCATGATGATTCACTTGACTAAATTTGTGCTTCCTAATCTGCATTGTCTGTTTCATATCTCCAGTGTAAAAAGATGAAAAATTGGTGACTTTTAATTTTTCTTTGTTGTGTTTGTGATAGAACAGCTATGTGCGTACTTGCCAGTTAACATTTCTAACATCCAGGAAGTTTGTCCCCTTGATAGACTGATTTTCATCCCAGAAGTTCTGAGGGAGTTGTTTTCCTGTTGTATAATAATCACTGCTGCTGTCCATAGGAATATAGGAAGAATGTGTTCTTTTTCTTTTAAGATTTTTTCTTTAATTGGGAAGGTAGATATACAGAAAAGGAGATACAGGAAGAAAGTTATCTTCCACCTGCTGGTCACTCCCCAAGTGACCATAACAGCCAGAGCTGAGCCTGTGTGAAGCCAGGAGCTAGGACTTTCCTCCTAGTCTTGCACACAGGTGCAGGGTCCCAAGGCTTTGGGCCATCCTCTACTGCCTTGCCAAGCCATAAGTAGGGAGCTGGATGGGAAATGGAGCAGCTGGGACATGAACCGACACCCTTATGGGATCCTGGCAGACACAAGGTGAGGATTTAGTCACAAGGCTGTTGTGTTAGTCCCGAATGTGTGTGTGTGTCTAATTTAGTTTTTCTCAAGTATTCGAAAAAGCATAGCCAAGCTCCCTGACTATTCAATTCAGCACCTTTATTAAAATCAGCTAGGTTGGGCCTGGCCTAATAACCTAGTGGCTAAAGTGTTCACCTTGCACATTCCGGGGTCCCATGTGGATGCTGGCTGGTTTGTATCCCAGCAGCCCCACTTTCCATCAGCTTCCTGTTTATGGCCTAGGAAAGCAGTAGAGGGCGGCCCAAAGCCTTGGGACCCTGCACCTGCGTGGGAGACCCGGAGGAAGCTCCTGGCTTCGGATTGGTTCAGCTCCAGCTGTTGTGGCCACCTGGGGAGTGTCTTTCCTTCTCTCTGTTAATCTGAGTTTTTAAGAAAAATAAAAATTTTTAAAAAGATGAAGCAACTAGTTTCACTTGCAAAGATATCTTATTTAAAAAATGATTTCAATATCGGAGATTCATTATATTTATTTGTGTAAGAAAAGCACAACATTTGTTTTTAGCGAGATATGCCTTGTTAATTGATCATAAAAGTCTCAAATTTGGGAGGATCTGATTCTTAGATTGATAAATCTAGAGGATTAATAGGTTTCTCAGTGACAATATTGTATTGTTAAAAAACATACATAAAAAGTCAGAGGATATAAATTTATGTTCCAAGTAAGAGCAACACTTAAAATGATCAGAATGATACTATCATGATGTTAACTAACAGGAAAAATACTGATTCTTGAGTCATAAGTTTTCGGATTGAATAACAGCTGTGATACTAGATACTACATTTAGTATTTTATTAGTTTTGATCACAAATAGAAATTTCTCCATTTTGCAAATGAAATCCCTAAGATATAAAGAGGTGAGTAACTTATTCAGCATCCCATATCATAGTAGTAGAATTGGAATTCAAATGTGATTTGATATGGCTTTAAAGTATGTACCTTTTTCAGTGTTATGCTATCTTAGTAAGCTGAAAACCCAATTCTACTTTCTGTTAAGACCCCAGTTTACAAAAGTTTAGAAAGTGTTTTTAAGAATAGATCACTTAGCTAATTTTGAAATTTTCTGAGAAAGTAACTTTGCTTTTCTTACTACTTCCTAAACTTTTTTCTTTCTTGTTATGTATCAGGACGTCTTGCCTGGCTGGTATACTTAGTTGGGACAGTCGTAGGAGGAAGATTGACGTATACCAGTACAGATGAACATGATGCTATGGATGGAGAATTATCCTGTCGGTAAGTAACATTGTAGTTTGCAGAAATTAGCTAAATTGTTAAGAAATTTAGTTACTGAACTTGTATTATACACTAGCATGCCAAAAAGTGAAGATGCATTGCATTATGCATCTCTACTCCCAATTAAAGATGGACTTCCAATGAAACTTAAAAATATTAAACAACAAGATGCTGGACTTTCTACCATTGTTTATACAATATAATGATACACTTAAATAACAGAATGATGGACCTGTGTCTATTGCTAAAGGACTATACTGTTGTGTAACATAGGGGAAAATATGGAATTCCTGAGCTTATGGAATTGTATTATGAAAAATAATAATTGTATTATGAAAAATAAAAATAAAAATTTAGAAGACATATGCTATTAAAATATAAATAAAAACAAAGACAAATAAACTGAAGAATTTTGGATTTGGCCTTTCAAGGAAAACATTGTTTCCCTCTTTTTTAATGAGAAAACTAAACTAGAGGTTAAATGATCTAAAGAATTCAGATCTCTAATAATGATAAGTTCAAAATTTTTGAACATTTGGGCAAATAATATGATAAGGATTTAAGTTGGGTTTTTTGCTTAGAATCTGATAAAAACACAATTCAGAATTCTAAAGTTGGTAGAAAATTAGGATGAGATACATTTAACAGTTTCATTGGAAATCCATCTTTTACTGAGAGGGAGAAACTCCATCCTTATCTCCCTTGTAGGTGCAGAGATGCAGTGCTTGGGCCTCCTCGGAAGAGGAGTAGCCAGCGCTCAAACTAGCAGTCGGCTGTGGGATTTCGGTGTCAAACAAGCAGCAGGTTAAGCTGTTTTTGCACAGCACTGATCCCTTACGATGATCTTTCCTACTTCATTCATAAAATATTTATCAAAGATTATTTGCTCTTCTTTTAAAAAATGCTTCCTGCATGTTTTAGTTTATTTTTGTTGGCTTTAAGTTTATTTTTGTTGGCTTTAAGTCATTTTAAATTCAGTTATGATCTTTTTCGTTTTTTTGTTTGTTTGTTTGTTTGTTTTTTGGAAAGGTCTTTCTACTTCTGAAAATTCTCCTAATTCTCCCATGATTTCAGCTTTTGTGTATAATTTTTAGTGTAGGTTAAATTTATTTTTGTTTTTATGCCCTTCCCCTAAATTTTTGAAGTATAAACCAGTTAATGCCAGCCCTACACTCTAGAGATTTGAAATGCCAGTGGTATCATGCAAAAAATAATTATCGAGAGTTTGATATGATTCCATTGATGTTACACTCCTAACACTGTGTGCTGATGCTGCACCTCTATCATTTCTAGTAAAGTCCTTAAAGTCAATGTATAGTGTTCGATAATCTCATTATTTCTCAATATTTTCTTAAGTATTAAATAAATTTATGGTTGTTTTGAATGAAATTCTCCATTTATTCCATATCATTTCCAGCATTTAAACTCTTTTCAATCAACTCTGAATCTGAATGAAAACTAGATAATTTTTTTCTAAGAGTTATAATTTCCTATATCATGTAAGTCACCTGAAAATATGAATGATAGGTATTTCAAGGGCCTCATTAAAGTGCTTTAATTGTCAACCTAGTGAAGAGTTTGCCTTTGTCCCATCTTTTAAGGTACATTACATATTTATAAAGTTGAGATTAAGTATTCTTTTAGCTATCATTTGGTTTTTTTAAAGTCTATGAAATATTGAAACAGACACTTGTACTGTGTCCTGAGGAAAAAATATATATGGAAATAAAGCAGTTTTATGGTTCCCAAATAGAAAAAAATTATTTTTTTCTTTAAGCAGCAAGCATGCTTAATATTAAATAAGACTTTCTTTGTGTTTCAATCTGCATCCCTTAGACAACAGATATAGTTGAAATTCATGGGTGAAGGTGCTATTTAGAAGGGAGAGGATGCATTTCCAAAGGGGAGAGACTACAAGGAAAGGAAAGAGAGCAAGACAGATACATTCAATTCTCATTATACCTGTATTCTGTTTTTGCAAATCTACCTACTGAATAAAATTTGTTCTATTTATTTGCCTGAAAGGTAGAGTTAGAAAATGAGAGCAAGATTCTTCATCCACTGGTTCACTCTCCACATGGCTGCAGTTGCCCTGAGCTCCACCAAGTGGAAGCCAGCATTGCAAAGCTCCATCCAGACCTGCCACATGTGTGGCAGGGGACCAAGGACTTGGACCATCTTGTCTTGCTTTCCCTGGTATAATGCCAGGGAGCTGGATTGGATGTGGAACAGCCAGGACTCAAACTACTGCCCATATCAGATGCTGGCATTGCAGGTGGCAGCATAACCCATTGCACCACAATGCTGGCCCTTGGATAAAATGTATGTTATGGCTGCATCAGTATCTGTGTGCTTTTATTGTCATTTGTGGATGTCATTGGCATGCAGAGTTTTTCCATTGATGTTGAATAGGATGATCCTTTGCCTTTCTGTTTGAAATCTCATACAGTAAGTGTCCTTTTTGCAGTCTGTTGAAGCACATCGTTTGCATTCTAGTGCTTTTGATTAATATTTTACCATTGTAAAGGACCTAAATGCAGTCAATGCTGTTTGGTCTACCTAAGCGTTAGAAGGTTGTTTCTGCCTGAGAGAGAAAATACAAGGGTTAGTTAGATAACCTACATTCAGAGATTAGTTTTTAACTGTATTTAGTGTTAACAAATCAACAGTATATCTTAAATAAGGTCTCTTTATTTAAACAGAAACACAAATAAAGCAAGGGGTACAAGCTGTTGACAAAAGTGTCATGACCAGAGAGGTTCCCAGGAACCTAATCCAACATTTCTTCTAAGAGCCATTATTCAGTATTCACCAATTTAGTGTCCACAGCCATTTTATAGAACATTAAATACCATAATTAATGAAAGTCATCTGTATAATGTGATATATTCCTAAAAAAACACAGCTGGATCACTTTCTTTTACAGAAATTTTCCCTAAAGGACACATGAAATACTGTGTCTCACAAGAGGCACAATTTGGGGAACTAAAGGCAAATCATAGTCTTTCTGTGTCACCTTCCTGTTGATGTAATTGTGTGTGAGCAGGTGTTTAGCTTAGCTTTCCCACAATCTTAGGTGTGCTACCGGGTCTGTTAGAGTTTCTAGGGAAGTCAGAGCTCCTATTGGTCCTGCTGAGTTGCATCTACAGGCTAGAACCATGAAGGACCTCACTTCTCCCTGGGTAAGCTTTTGTTAACATTTGTAACAGTAAGAACTATGTGAATCTTGAGTAGAGTTTCAGGGCAAGTGGCTTAGATGTGGAACTGGGTATAAAGTGGTGCTGGGCTTGCCAAAGCAGATTTAAGGGGGGCATGTTTTAGAATTTGTACACCTTGTCTCAGGATAAATACAATCTGTGGTTTTAAATATGGAAATTTTAACTTAATAATGGTATTTATGTCAAAATATAGGCTACTGCTCTCATATGAAGAGGTTCCAAATAAAACACTGCTGCCTTCTGTTGTATGATACCTGTCCAGTTCCTGTAGTAACACTGCCAACTTCAATCATAAAGTTCTTGCCAAAAGTCTGTGCTGTTAGGGCACACAGCTATATACTCTTAAAAACTCTCTAACACTGTACTAATTTACAACTGTAATTAAAATATGTTATCTTTACTTTTTTCAATGTACCACTTTTAACTTAGCAAATAAATACATTTGCCCAGGCCACACAATACTACTTAAATAAGGATAATGTTGTAAGCGTAATGTCTTCTCCACCACATGTCCTCTCAGTCTGCTGGTGCCAGCAGAGTGCCTGCTTCCTTCGGGCTGATCCTGCTTTGCTGTGCAGCCTCTGTCTCTCCATATTGCTGTCACCTGCTCATTTCTCAGTCATCCCTCGTGATTCACAGAAGACTTTGCAAACTAGCCCAGGATTTTGCTCTCTCTCAAATCCTGTTGTAGAGATGACTGAAGCTTTTTTTCTCATTAGACAATTACTACCTCTTCCTCTACTCATTAGCTGCCAGTGGCTGGAGACAAAATCTGTGGCTGTAAGCATCCTAGGGGACTTCTGACTCTGTTCTTACTCCTTCCAGTTTAGCTCATCCACACTAGACTTGTTATTCTTTGAGCATTACTGTTATCTCTGAATCCTGAAGATTATCCTTAACTTTCCCTTTTCCTCTCCAAACTCCATTTGATCAAGTCCAATTAGTGCCACTTTCTGGTTATCCCAATTAATGCATTTATTTCCATATTTTCCCCTGCCAAATCAATTTGTGACATTTTTTTAAACCTGAATTGTTGTCAAGATTTTTTTTTTTTTGCATTATTTTCTGAAATACAGATCTGACTGTATCAGTGCTTTCCTTGAACTCTGAGTTGACTCTTCATTACTTTTCATGGATTTTTCCCCCCATGGATTAAAATCAGCATGATTAAGTGATTATGTCCTGGGTGTATCAGGATCTTTGTCTTGTTGCTGTCTTATCTCCATTAACCTTCTCTCCTGCCACTGACTGCTCTCGATAGAATTGGGTATTTTTCAGCTCTTACATAAGACATTTTTTTCCTTCCTTCTTTAGACAGCTACACATATTTCCCCTAGGTCTTGACAGTCTCTCTTTGCTCTGTTCTGTCTAGAATATGAGCAGTGCTTGCTGATACCCTTACAGCGTTTATTAGCCACTTGTCATTCTTTACTCTGTGTCTTGTTTTGTCTGTTCCTTGAAAAGGTATAGATTTTTAAGGGGCAGGAAATAATGTATACAAGGATTCTCCATAAAGTTTATAGAAAATAGAATTAAAAGATATGGATATTTTAATATAAAAGTGTTGAAATTCATGCAAGTGAGGAATCTTAAAAGCATTCATGAAGAACATGGTAGGAAGAAACTGCATAGACTTCAAAATCTTTTACACCAAATTAAACTTATTTTTCAATCAACTTTTCCACAAATTGGAGTACCCCTTATGTCTTACTCATTTTTATACTCTAAACAGCTAATTAATGCTTGGCATATATGGTAGTCCTTGAAACATTTGTGGACTGAATGAATACTTGCTAATTCAATTTTCAAAGGAATCCAGAGTAATTATTAAAAATTTATCCAGTTTTATTTGAGATCTTGTACTTATGCTTCAACTATTAAATGATTTATCTTTCTATTTCTTCCAGTGTTTTTTACTAAAAGTAACTCATTATAGTGAATGCATATATAATTATATATGACAATAAAATGAAAAGGGGAGTGACCATTTTATCTTGTTTCTAAGTATGGTTGAGTGATTATTTCCTAGGCAGTCAGATGTAAGTAATTTTTGTGACTTGTGGACTTAATGGGTGGAGTTGAAGAAGCCAGTTAGATAACAATATGACTGTGAAGATCAAGTGTAAGAAGTTGCAGAGAACCAAACTCCTCATATACCAGAGAGCACTAATTAGCCCTGGAATGCTACTTTGTATTTTTGCTTGATAGATAATATTTGATATCATTTGATTATCTATATTGTTGAACTATTTCCAGCATCTGCAGCTGAATCTGTTCAACTACCAAAACTTCCTTGACATATGGATTATATATCCTGCTGGATGTATTATTGCCTGTTAGGCAAATGCAGATCACTCACTTAATATGAGTTTTAAAGACCTATGAACAAACTGCCTTGGTATCATATCTTCCTTGGCTTTGGGACTGTGTGCTGTAGAATATAAAACAAAAAGCAGGTATTTGACACAACATTTATTAAGATGTCACTTGTAACACCTATATCCAATATTGGAGGGCCTGGGTTCCACACAATTCCAGATTCCTGCTAATGTGCACTATGGGAGACAGCAGATGATGGCCCAGGTACTCAGATCCCTATTACTTGTCTGGAGACCACGTTGCAGTATTTCTTATCCAAACGCCCTGGTAATGGCCTGGGACACCAGCGGAGGATGGACCAAGTGCTTGGGCGCCTTCATCCACGTGGGAGACCTGCAAGGAAGGAACACCTGACTTCCCGCTTTGCCATAACTCAGCCCCGGCCATTGCAGCCATTTGGGGATAAACCAGTGATGGAAGATCTTCCTGTCTCTCTCTGACCTGATAACCCTGCCTTTCAAATAAATATTTTTAAAATTTTTCTTCAAAAAATAAGAAGCAACAGCTTTTAAATAGCATTTTAGAAATAACCATAATCTATGTTAAGAGGTAAATGAATAACAAGAAAAAATACTTACTGTTGTTACGAAGAGGCCAATTATTTATTATATAAAGGATTTATAGAAATCAGTAATTTAAGAAGACAGTCTGATAGAATCAGTGAGTGTTTGAATAGGGCACAAAACATGTATGAAGCTTAAAAGCTTGGGAAAACATTACATAAGTACAAATTAAAACAGATACCATGCTCAGTTTCAGATATCTAGAAATTCTTATACCACTCAGAATTATGTGAAGAAAAAGTGAAGAAATAGAAATTGTCATAAACAGATGGTAAGAGTAGAAATTGTTTCAGTTTCTCTGGAGGACAATTTGTAGTATCTGTGGAGGACAACTTATAATTTCTATCAAAACTGTAAAAAATTTACAAAAATTCTCAAGTTAGTACTTTGACTTTTATAAGTGTGTATTATAAATGTACCTGTGTGAAATGAGATTTTTTTGCAAGATTGATAATTGAAACATTTTTGTAGCTACAAAATACTAACTTTAGTGTCCATAAGTGGGGTGTATTTGAAGATATTATAGTACAATCATACAGTTCTTTTAGCCACTGCAAAAGAATGAAAAAGCTCTAAATGTCTGGCATGGAAAGATCTTTAAGAACCCTGTTGGAGTGTACTCTCTGAGTTTAAAGGAGTTGGGAGAAAATTATAAATCATGTTTGTGTGTTCAGACATGAAACTCTCTAGAAGTACATGACCTATTAAAACATGAGTATATATTCATTTTTGCATATGTCAAAGGAGCCAGTGGAGCTAGGTATAACTGCTGTTTCGCAGATTTAAAAGGGAGGGCCCAGTACAGTAGCCTAGTAGCTAAAGTCCTTACCTTGTGCATTCCGGGATCCCATATGGACACCGGTTCATGTCCCAGCTGTTCCACTTCCCTTCCAGCTCCGAGATTGTGGCCTGGGAAAGCAGTAGAGAATGGCCCAAAACCTTGGGATACTCTGCTCTGCCTTTGAGGGAGACCTGGAAGAAGCTCCTGACTCCTGGTTTCAGATTGGCTGAACTCCAGCTGTTGTGGCCACTTGGGGAGTGAGTCAACAGACGGAAGATCTTGCTCTCTGTCTCTCCTCCTCTCTGTGTATCTGCTTTACGATGAACATAAGTAAATCTTAAAAAGAAAAGAAAAGGATCCTGCTGCTTGAACAGTTTTGTTTCTGAAAATGTTATTCTACTGTTAGTGCAGGCTGCTGGGGGCCATTCAGCAGAAATTTTCAATACAAATTGATAATATTAAAGGATTTCTGTCTTAAACATTCTGGACTGAACTTTTCATTATATTGAAGTAGGCCTCTTAGCTATAAAATTTAACTTAACCTATTGCTCATTTATGATTTTTGATAATTTTTAATAATAGAGAATTTGTGATTCTCTGATAACTAATAATAGTTTAGTAATTCTTTATGGTATTGGAAATGTTTGACTTTGTTAAGAATTTTTTTTCATTAAGGGAACATTTTATTGTTTCTTAATAATCTGTTAAGCATATCTTTTTTTTTTCTTAAAAGATTTGTTTGTATCAGATTTTATTTATCCAGTCATCAGTTGATGGTCAACTGGATTGGCTCCATATCTTAGTCTGGACCATCCCAAAGTCTGGAACTCAATCCAGGCCTCCCGTGCGAGTGTGGAGGCCAAGAACTTGAGCCATTTCTGCTGCCTTCACAGTTGCATTAGCAGGGAGCTGAACTAGAAGTCGACCTGCCATCTGTTGCTCATATAGCATGCCAACATCACAGGTAGTGGCTTCAGCCTTCTAAGACATAATGAGAGCTTCAAGTGTACCTCTTGATTTTTTAAAAAATATCTTTTGAGTTAGGTGATCCTAAAATATTTAATTATTTTAAAATGTCAGATTAGATGAAAAAGTGGCCAGTATTATACAGTTGGTTGGTTAAGCCACACCTAGAGATATCAGCATCCCCTATTGGAATGGTGGTTCAAGTCCTGGCTCTGCTTCTGATCCAGCACCCTGCTGATGTGTCTGGGAAAACAAAGGCCAGTTAGGCCAGGCACTTGGACTCCACCATCCACATGGGGCACCCAGAAGCTCCTGGCCTCTGACTTCAGCCTGCCCTAAACCAGTGCGTGAACCCATGCTTAGAAGGTCTCTTTCTGTCTCTGTCTCTATCTCTCATCGCTGTTACTCTACCTTTTGGATAAATAAATAAATAAATCTTAAAGTAGGATACAAAACTACACATTCAGTAATATTCTTTGTATGAACCCTATTTTAACTTATAAGCATTGTATATTATGTGTGTGTAGTCCATGTGTTCATATATATGTAGGTTTAATAAAGTAATATTTTTGTGTACTTATGTAGGTTTGAATTTTTGTTTATGTATACGTATGTCTTAGGAAAGAAAACCTGGAGAGAATTAAATCAATGAAAATTTTTTACTTTCCTTCTTGTTACAATGATTATATGTTATATTTTCAATAAAATTTTCAGTGTTTTCTCACTAAGAATTTGTATTGAAGCGTTTTTGTTTTTTGTTTTTTCCTTTATGAAAAGAGTTTTTCAGCTTATCTCTTTAATGGATACTGGACTGCCTCAGCGTTCTAATGAGAAAATCGAGCTTGCGATTCTGTGGTTCTTGGATCAGTTTCGTAAAACTTATGTTGGTGACCAGCTTCAGAGAACCTCAAAGGTAGGTCTTTATAATTACAGACTTAAAAAAATGTTCTTGAAAATGAAGAAATAAAGTTATCCTGAATGATATATCTAGCGAATTTCTACATAAAAAATGTAATTGATCATTTGGAATCAGCTAATAAGTTGATAATGAAATGCATTACTTGTTTTATACCTCAGTTTGGCATATTTTTGAGGGTTGATTTGCCAAAGTAGTAAATGTTTTTATGATGGTAATCACTACATACTTAAAATTATTTTAACTAGTGAATTTTGCCATATCATTTTCTTCTTTTTTTTTTTCGAGAAAAATGGAATTGAGGTTTATTTTGGTAAAAATGTTTTTGCATTCCATGCATAGATTTTTGACAAGCTGTATTTGCCTGCAGTTTTTTTTTTAAGTACCTTAGTATGTCAGTAAAGCTATGCACACTGAAGGAAAAAAAAAAAAGCTGTTATCCTAGTCTCTGCCTTCTCTAAAAATATAGTCTTTTTGTTTTTTATTTTTTTATAAAATTTTATGACACAGTTTCGTAGGCTCTGGGATTCCCCCAGTCCTTCTCCAAACCCTCCCCCCATATTGAATTCCTCCAAATTGTTATAGTAGTACAGTTCATAATCAGTCATGATTCCTTCATTGCGGGTGTGGACCATGCGGAGAGTCCAGCATGTTACTGTCCAGATAAATTCAACAGTTTTGTTGGGAGACCATTCTTGATCTGAAAGTAGAGCTGGCAGAATATCATCTCCTCCAATGAGATGTCACTACACAACTTCAACAACAGAAAGAAACATGAAATTAACAACATCATGAAGTTAATTAGCATGGTATTGAGTGACCAATATGTTACAAAATGCAAGTTTTTAACCACATCCTGTAACTACTTCCCTGACATCTCAATTTTAATATATACACAACTGGCTGCTATAAGCTTTTTTTTTTCTTCTCCCAAGCTAACATGCTTTTGAGTTTAACCTAAATCAGAGTGGCACAGGAACGGTGAAAGGATATAATTTTCTTTTTCAAGACTAAAGCATAAGATTTGCAACTATACTGGATCTGAGATTTTTTTTTGACGCTTGAAGTGGTTTTCAGTGTATTCCACTTGTTTTTTGGCCTTTTTACATGATGCAGAATGAGAACTAGGAAAATGAGATGGGTGCTTAGAAGCACAGTACATTGTCATAATGTAGGGAATCCTTGTTACCTGCTTACTGAAATTTGACATCAATGGGCAAGGTAAGTTTATCTTGAGTTGTAATAAGGGGCTGAGGGCATTGTGTGAACTGTAAGCAGATACTTAATAGTACACCAGTAGTATAATAGTAATGGTAATACTGTTCCCGTTTTACTAATGAAAGAATGGGTTCTTAGAGACATTTTGAGAGACCTAGATACCATACAGTCAGCCTGTTGTGTCCACGCATTCCACAGCTGGGGATTTAATCAAAAAGAAATGGAAACTATCAAGGGGGAAAAAAGGCACCTGTACGGAACATGAAATACTTTTTATTTGCTTGTTATTCCTTAAACAGTATTATCTAACAATTATTTGTCTAATATTTACACTGTATTAAATAAATTAAGAATAATCTAGTAGCTTAAAGCATATGGAATGCTGTGCTTATCTTCTGTGTAAATATTATGTCATGTTAAATAAAGAAATTGACTATCCCTATGATTTGATATCTTAAGGGGATCCTAAAACCAAGCCATTCTGAATACAAATGGACAACTGTATCAAAGACACTAAGATACTGGAAGTTTTTTTTTCTTGTTCTGAAATTGTAACATGACATAACCTCTTTTAAGAGTCCTAAGGATATTTTTAACCCACTTTGGATTTATAGTTTGTTTTAGTAATGTTGAAAATTTAAGAATCTTAAAATAAATTTTTTATACTCAGTTTAACTTTTTTATCCTAGGAAATTTAGCTTAATCTTCAGTTCACATATGATTTTCTGGTAATAATTGTACAGTAATGTGGAAAAATGCTTATTTGAATATTGTCATTAGTTTATTTTAGGTGTATTTTTTACAGCTTTTTAAGGGAACTGATTCAGCTTGATGCCTCCTTTATTGAATATATTGTGATAATTTATTAAATGTCTAAAATTAACAATAAAATTTGTGTATATTTAGCTGCTCTTGAGTAAGACTGTCAGGAAGAAAAGGCAGTAACTAGAAATAAATGTTTAAGATGATATTTAAGGTAAGACAGAATCAGACACAGAATCACATGATAGTAATTTTATACAGGGAACCTTCTTAAATCTCAATTATACTTCTTAGAGTATAAATAAAATTATGGTAAATTCTTTTTTTTTTTTTTTGCTGTACCCAGAGAATTCATTATTTTCTTTTGTAAAGGTGTATAATCCTGAAACATTACTAATCCTGTATCCATTTTTTCTGGGTTTTAGAACCATCTAAAGCAGAATAGAAAATCTTTCGAAGTATTGCTTTTAAGCTAGTTTGACAGAAATGTGTAAAATGTCACTAGGTGTTTTAAGCAGTGAAATTTGGAGGATCTTTTTTTCAAATTTATTGTTTTAATATAACTGAAAATTACTGATTATTTTATGTGTGGGGAAAAGAAAAGTTTAGAAACATTGATATCTGTTATCTGGCTGGTGTTATTATAATTTAGGAGTTTTGGGTGTATGAGTCTTACCTTATTATCAAAAGGGTTTAGCTTAAGAAAATTTTATTTCAAAATCATTCCTATTATATAATCCTAAAGAGAACTTGATGCATTCCATTTGTCAGTTTCTCTGATTGCTTCATTTTGCTGCCTTAACTGGAAACGTCTTTTGGTGTCCTTAATAGGTAGCCTAAGAACTGTTCATATTTTGTCCCTTTGCAACAGGCCAGCAAGATTTATATTACTTCTACCATTTTGTTAATGAAAGAAGAGACTCCTAAGACGATTAGCAAGTGTTATATACAGTTGGCCTGCCATTTGTGGGTTCCACTTCTGTGTGTTTAACCAACTGTGGATGGGAAATATTTGGAAAAAACTATCAGCCTTTAAATGTACATGTGTAGAATTTTTTTTTATATTACTCTCTTAACCTCACAATTTAACAACCACACAGCATTTGCATCATATTAGGTATCATAAATCTATAGATGGTTTATGTACAATGGGATATATGGAGGTTATATGCAAATACTTTTCAATTTTGTGTAAGAACATGGAGCACATTCAAATTTTGCTTCTGTGAGTCCTAGAACCAGGACCTCACACACACTGAGGGATAACTGAATACTATTTTTCTGGCAACCAGTGAAGGAAGACTAGGTGGGAAATGTTCCTTGATGACTGTATTTTTTAATTCCTAATTTGGGGGAAAAAAGATTATTACATGATCATGAATAATGCCTACCAGTTATGGTGCACTTATTTCTACCCAGGAACTGTGCTAAGCACCATGAAGCATTATCTCATTTAATTGACTCAGAGTAAAACTTAAAGTTCTCATACATGTCAAAGCTTCAACAACGTCAATCCTGTGTACTTGGTGGTGTTGTTGCTGTTGTTGTTTTGCTGTTATTGTTTTCTATGATACAGTTCGACAAGTATGGGATTTCCCCTTCCATCTCCTCTTCACCAACCACCACCACTTTCCCCTATATTGTTACAGTAGTATAGTCCTTCACCAACAGTTGCAAGTCCAACATTCTGTGTTTAAGTGTATCCTGGCATTGTAGTATTGGCAATGGTGAAAGATGTAGTACTTGTACATATATTACAGGATGTTTTCTAAACTTCTTTTCAATTCTTTTTAACAGTCTGCACTCTCTCAGTTGTGAATATTAGCATAAAGTGTTCTCTCTTCCTGGGATATTATTTTTAAAATCCCAGCCTGTTCTTCTCTTCTTTGCCTTATTCCTTTAACTTTTTCTTTTCCACTCCTCATCATACAGATATCTGTCCCAACATCAGATTCTGAGCAAGTCCTTTTTGTCTATATTCTGTAGCATCTGTGTGTCTCTTATTTTAGTACTTATTACACTCTGTTGTAATTATTTGTTAGTAAAGCATGAATGTGCTGCAATTTTGATCATTTTTGCTTTTTTCTAACTGTTGGTATGTGTATTTAGTAAAATTCCGTAAGAATTAAGCCTAGATCACTTCTATAATATTTTCAGGCTATAAAGCTTATATTCTTGATTTGGGAGACAATACTAATTTGAATAAAATTATTCAGTGGTTTTAAATAGGGTATAATATTAATCACCTTCAAATTTTTATAAAAGCTTTTATGTGTTGTACAAGCAAAATTGACATCATTGGGCAGTTCTGATTGATGCATGTGATAGAAATATGTCCTATAAATGAAAAAGAAAGAAAAGTTGTAAATAGTAGCTTTAGGTTTGTACAATAATTGGTCTATCCCAAATACTTTGCTGAGAACATGGCAAGTATTATCAAAGTTCATTTTTACAAAACACTATGACTATACTTAATTTAGTCCCTCCCTTTTGAACTTCAGAGTGGTTACTTAGTGTGTGAAAGTGTTCAGATCTGGATATAAATCTGTAACATCTGACTCCATAGCCTGTGTTGCTAACATTTGCTGTATGGCCTGTGACTGCATCTTTCCACTGTGATATTCAGTGTTGAATGAGCTCTTCAAACTCAACAAGTTCATCTGCTAAAGCTTTCTCTTGAGAAGGAAAAAGGACATTGAGCCCCACATCCCTCTTTTTCTCTCATCTGCCATGTAACACTAATTTACTTCTTCCACGTCTCTCAGGTCCATTCTTTTCTCCACACTTTTCTTTTCCTCCTCGTTGTCACTGCTTGTCTTTCCTCAGAGGACATTAAGTCTTACAGTTGCCTTTTGTGTTTCTGCATTTCTTGTACTCACTCTAGTCCATCTCCTTTACTGTCACAATGATCTTTTTTTCCACTAAAAACCAAGAGACCCTAATAAAATGCACACTTATATATCCTCATCCACCTTTGTCAAATCTTAATGCTTTTCTATACTTAACTTCAGTTCTAT